TCGCTGAGGATGCTGAAGACCTGCGGGGAAAGTTGGATTTGCGGCCCCGGCAGGTCCATCACGGCGCGGATGTGCGTGAGGCCCGGCCTGCGCTCGACGTTCACCGGGGCCTCGACGCACGCGATGTAGAGCGTGTTGTGCGAGCGGTGGAACTCCTCGAGGGTGTAGGCCGTCAGCTCGCCCAGCCCGCCGAGGACGGTCGCCTTATGGCTGAGCTTCATCAGCTTTAGGGAGTCCTCGACGGGGGTGCCGTCCGTGAAGTAAATAAAGACGTCGTGGAGCATGCCCTTCGCGGTGAAGTTCCGATGCACCGTGTGCTCCTCCTCCGGCGTCGGCCGCACCACCGGGGTGAAGCGCCGCACCGACTCGAAGGACGCGACGAGCGACGTGTCCTCAACCCGCACTTTGAGCGCCAGCGTCGGGATGAAGTTGAGGCGATCCAAACACGACGAGGAGTGGATATGGCGCTCGACCTTCCCGCAGGAGTAGATCCCATCCGACTTCTCCAGGACGCTGCGGAAGGCGGCATCCCCGAAGGGCAGGACGAGCTGGCAATTGAAGACCGTCGCGACGCACTTGTGCTCCCGGACGATGTCGAGGAAGCTGAGCAACATCTTTTCCTCCTCGAGGTCGTTGCTCATAAAGGAGAGGCGGCGCCGCTTGACATCCTTTTCGACGCTTTGCGTGATGTGGAGCAGGCGGCTCGCGCGCTTCTTCTCGGCCCTCTTGCGGAGGGCCTCGTAGCGCATCATCTGCGCCTGCAGCAGGCGAAACGCCTTCTTTCGCTTGAGCAGTTTGTCGTGGTGCACGCCCTCCGCCTCCTCGTCCTTCTTGATTTTGATGATGTCCTGCTGGGTCTCCTGCAGGAACTTCTCCAGCAGCTCCACCAGCCCCACCCGGACGATAATCAAGGGCGAGAAGACGGCGACCTCCCACTGGTACGAGCAATGCTGGAGGGAGTCCAGCATGTCCTGCTGGAGGTCGGTGCTGTAGAGGTTAAAGCACGGGTTCGCCTTAAGCTCCTCGAGCGCGCGATTGGTGTGGGTCTTGCCGATGCGAAGGCTGAAGGAGAACTCCGCGGAGCCCCAGATAAACCCCCCGAGGGGGTAGGCGATGCGCGCGAGCCCCGAGGCCTCCGCGGGCGGGGACCCGTGGGCCGGCAGGGCCGTCGGGGGGGCCGCCTCGCCCTGCCCC